CTTTCTCATTTAAAAAGCCTTTTAATAATGCCCTTGTTTATGGAGTCATTGAAAAAGAACGTGATGGGGAGTGCTGTTGTGAAAGCCAGTAAGGAATCTTGTCTTAATTTTTCCAGACAGAGCTGGCGTATCCATTACAGAGCGGGAAAGCCAGCCAGATGTTACATGCCACAGCTGGTCAGCCTAGATTCCCTTTCCTAGCTCTCAAATTAAAATATTTTCATTCTTGGGTTCTAGCATCTTCTTTGACAGCTTGATCTGACACGTACGCGTGCCCGGTGGAGGCAATGCCTTTCTGGGCTCTAACAAGTCTGCTCTCATTTCAGAAATCTACCGCATTGTTTCGCAGAAGCAGATTGCAGATCGGTCTGCACACGATGAGTCTCCTGGCAACAACGTAGTCGACATCAGTGTCCCACCAACCACCGATGGACAGAAATCCAACAAACTCCAGTGCTGTCAGAACCTGTGACCTCCTGTAGATGACTCTTGTGCCCTTCACTTCGTCTGTGCTTCATTTAGAAACTTGTGTGCACTTCTTATCTCCTGTGATTCAGTGACTCCCTCTCCCCTCCTTTACCCCATTCCCAAGCCCCCCCCCTTTTCATCTTAGAGCTTTAATTGTAGGGCTAACATCCCCCTGCCTCTGAAATCCCCTTCAATGTGGTGACTTTTGGGCTTGAAATGTAGGCACTGATCTGATAGACATGTTTGTGTTGGAACGCCTGCTGCTGGATATTATCCCATGAAACGCTCTCCTCAGATGGTTTTGGTTTTTTTTTTTTTCTGGGAGAGAAACCATGGGGACTCGACTATAACAGTTGAAGAAATAACTACATTTAGGTGACAAAGTTTTTTTCCTCCCACAGTCAGATTTTTTTTTTCCTTGTGTTTCTGTAAACATGGGGGAGAAATTAAAAGAAAATAGCTATCCTACCAAATGCTCTGTTTTCTGTCCTGATAAAGTCTCACAGTGAGGTTTTTAGTGGCTGCACACACTAAGAAAGCTGTTGAAAATAACATTACTTATTATGTAATTACCCCTAATACAGTTAGTCTGGCTGTGTAGTTTATCGTTTCCTGCTTGGGAGATCTTTCTCTATTCTTATTTGGGAACAATGAAGTATGTCTGCATTGCTTTCTCGGCCACCATGAATGCCTGTGCTGCTTCTGCAGGCTTTATGAAGTGGCTTAATATTTATTCATGGCTTATGTTAATCAGTTAACATTATTGTACAGTAAGTGCCAGCATATTGATTTCAGAAACCTTTTGCAACCTGTACAAGTAGGCTTATTTTGTACTGTAGATCAGTGTCTGAAAGCAGGATCTTCTCTAGTTCCAGGATTTTTTTGCATGCTGCTTTTTCTCTAGGTCTCTCCTCCCCCTGTTTGAGTGAGTGAAGCAATATTTTCATGTCATGTATATACCTGCACTTGTAAGGGTTTTGGTTGTTGTAGAGAAACTCGATACTTTATACATTTTGTAAAACTTCTGCAGAACCATAGCATCTTGAACTTTCTCTTCATCGTCTTTCACTATTGACCTTGTGCATAACCCTCCTGACCTCTACTAAAATGCATAATGTTAAGATTCCACATAATAACTACTAACCTGTTGTTTTCTTCTTACTCTGTTTTACTGAATTGCAGACTGTAATTCTCATATGATTGTACGTCACCTGATGTAACAGATCTGTCATCAGCAGGGCTAACTACTATAATCCTTTGTTTTGCTGAACGGGAAGAATGTTATCACAACTTCGTGTAGTCAGTCTCTTGCTAGCTTGTGAACACCTTATATGATGGCTTTTCATCGTTCACTAGCTCTTACACACTTGCATCCCCTCCGGTATGCGCTGAATGTTATGATGAGGCGAATACTGGGTGAAACTGTCTAAAGGAAGAGTTGGAGACCGTCTGCTGCTCTGAAGGCTAGTGAAGCAATTTGCAGTGAATTTTTGCTCTGTACTCTGAGACTGTACCTCACTCGATGAATCCTACCTGCGTATTAGTGAGTTGATTTTTCTTTTCTGATACAAAGCAAATATGAAACTGTGAATTGTCGCTTGAAGGGGAAATCTGACATTCCAGTCTCAACTGTTCTGTCTGGTTATGTAATAAAATTAAGGGCGGTTAAGTCTGATGGCTTTTCTTTTATAAGATTTCCAGACCAATGCCTTTAATTTTGTACTGTATGCACCTAGAGGGCTATAGTTCACAGCAAAGGGTGCACGTGGTGCCTAGCACTTTTCACCTTTGTTTAGAGGATACGTTCAAGGCGAAGGGGCACGTGCTTGCAGCCTAATCCCATTGAATGAGGATGTGATTTCCTTTTTAGGCACCACAGTGATCTGTCCTAAGGGTGTCCCAGTTTGGGAAGCACTTTCAAGGCTTGGTATTTACTTTAATAGCATCCTGTTGAGAGAAGGTACAGCCAGTGGGAAGTGGAGACGCCTCCTTTTTGGTGGTTCTAGACCAGAATGTGATGTGCAGTCAGTATCCGGAAGGCTGGCAGATGAGGATGCTGTTAGAGAGAATGGAAAATTCTGAGATGGTGAAAATATTTCATTCAAGATCAGGTGGACACTGGTGGAGCTGGGCTCCTTAATTGTGAACCAAACTTTTTATAAAGAAATGAGTTGAATGGCATGAGGAAGAATCATGCTGTTAAGAAGACTTATTAGTTCAGGGTGATGTATTAATGTGTTTACTCTGCAAATCCTGTTCTTAACATGAAGTTTCTAGAATCAGTCTGGCCTGGTATAAGAGGCTGAGAAGCAGTTTAGTCACTTCCTTGTCTCTTAAAAGAGATTTTCTCTAGTCTTTGACTTTGTGGAAGGCTCTGAACTTTGCATCAGAGTCCCAACAGAAGGTTTGTGTCTAGGGCTTAAGTGCTGTTAAATTATATTTGTATTGAAGAGACCTTGTCCAACTTCATTGCACGTCAGCCAAAGCCCCCTCAGAGCAGGTGGATCTTGGACCCATACTATTCGTGCCGGAGGGGGTTGGGTTGTTTTTGAGATCTGTTGCATGAGGTGGGAAGGCCCTACTGCCTCTTGCTGCAGGACTGCGGTATCCCCAAGATGTGGGAAGCGTGTGTGTGCACGCACGTGTGCCCAGACATAGCTTATGTGAGCACTGTGAACTTAAGCAATGGTTTTATCTGCTGTGGTCACTCAGTTTATTTATTAGACTGGGTATTGGCTCTTTCCCCACACTGCTGTGCTGCTACCCAGGCAGGTGGAGATGCAGCCCTTCTGTGGCTTTGAGGTGCTCTTGCCTAGGCTAAGCCCAGGGCCATCAGGGCCAACAGGAAAAGGACAGTGGACCAGTTCTTCCTGGTAAAACCATCTTCCTGTGCATGGCTGAGGAAAAATGCTTCTGATCTCGAATACCCTGGTGTCCTGCTGACAACCCCGTGTTGGTAATAGCTACTGAAATTGCAGAGGGGAAGACTTGGAGGAAGCTTGAACTGTTGAAGAGCTGTCTGACATTCAAAGAAGCTCTCCAATAGGCCAGACTCCCTAACTGTGCTTTCTTGATGTGAAAATAACAGTTAAATGTGACCTCACCTGGACTGCTTCATACTGCAGCTTCTCTGGCTCTGTGTCTCTCAGTGTTACTGTCGGGGAAAACAGAAAAGGTTCCAGCTCTCTTCCATCTGCCGTAAGAGGTTTGAGGGCAGAATTTGGCTTATGTAAAACTCCTGACGACAGGAAAGCTGCCTGTGAAGGAAGGAACATGTGCTGTGCTTGCTTTACTTGGCTGTCGAGGGTGACTTTCATTTAACTATTGAAAAATAACACTAAAAAGCACTGGGTGCTTACCACCCAGTGTCAGTAACATAAACCTCACTTGCAGGCTCCTGCTGGGATTTAGAACAGGTCCTCCAATGCAAAATTAGACACAAGTCTTTTCTGCTAACTACCCTGTTAATGAGGGGGACAGTAAAGGCCAAAATTCACACATAGGTGATTTGGTGGTGAGCACACAAACAGGTAATTGGTAAAATAAATGAATGGGGTAGACAGCCTCAGTCGAGCTTTCCTCCCTATTGAGTCAGACGCTTACAGGCTGGGTGAGCTGCGGTCTGGGATCTCCACCAAGAGTTTGTCTGTAGGCCTGCACAGGGCAAGAAAGTTTGGATCGTAGGAAAGTCTGGAAAGCTCTATACTTGTATAAATGTAAAAATCCAGTTGTTGAGTGACTGCTTGCTACTTCGTTAGCAAGGGTTTTTTGTGTGTGCTGCGGAGGCCATCAAAATTTGGTAGAAGGAAAAGGCACCGTGACCCCTTCTTCCCCCTGTGGCTGCTTCTCAGCACTTGTAGCAGGTTGGAAGCAGTCGAAGGGCTGCTGCGTCCTAGAGATCCCCCCGTTTGGGTCTGTTGGATCACCTGTGGGATCTCCCCAGTGTGTGGAGAGGCTGGTAACGGGGTATTCTGGTGCGAACAGGAGAGAGCGCTCTCGGCTGGATGCGCCAGGATGGTAAGGATTGGCCTGTGCCTTTTATTTGAGTAGGTCACTTAGCAAAAGCCACTTGGAAAAAAATGTACAGTAGGTATTTTCGCTTCCCGCTGCTTTGATTCCTGCATGCTGTACTGTTCCAGAAGCTGTGGACGTGATCTGTTTGTGGGCTGCTAATGGTTGGGTCTTACCTGTGCTTGGTGATCGCTTCCCTTCCAAGCACGAAGGATGAACTGGCTTAGAGGTTCTGGACTCTATAGAAGAAAAAAGATCCTAATGGAGCGACTCAGTCACTTAGGGAGGCCTTTTTCCTTCATAAAAAAATCCTAGGAAAAACAGTATTAAAGGTTGGGGCCTGAATTTCAAGTAAGGAAAGAAAAAGGGGGCAATTGGAGGTGAAAGACTGTCCTTCAAGTAAAATACAGTGAGTCAGGGCTGAGGTTGGATTCTCTTGACTTGCAGACTCTTAATAGCTAATGCAGTGTGAATGGTGATTAATGGAATGATTCCATGAGATGAGTCTCTCCAGGGCCGCGCTGTTTCAATGAGTAACAGTAATTCTTATTTTAAGCTGGTCAGATAATGCACGGTAGTTGTCTATCAGGCTTGGTAGGCTATAAATAGCACTGGACCTTTATGCAACCCAGAAGAGAGGTTCCTTTCATTTACTTTTACTCCTGGTTCCTGTGTTAAGTGCAATTCACTTTGTAAATATACACATCACTTGATTTTTGTGCATGGTTATGATGTATTGTGGATATAAAGATTGCCAAATCATACCGTGTGTGTAAAGTTCTGTTCCAAACGCAATTGTGGAATCAGGTGGGAACATAATTTTTGGACCTGGTACCTCGCCGGCCACAGCGCCCGAGTGCGGTGGTTGGTACCGAGATGGGGGCCCCTGCCGTGGCCGAGGGGGCCGGGGCCCCGCGGGGGGGGCGGGCCCGGG